TTTACATGACTCTGGTCAAAGAAATGGAAACTTCTCCTCTGCCAGACAGCGGGGGTCACTGACTGGCTCTGTCACTCCGTAGATACTTGGCCTTCGGCCAGTTATTTCACTTCTCTTTACCTTCATTTACTCCTTTGTGAGATGGGGATGATGAGAGCACCTGCCACATAGGGCTGTTGTCAGCCTCAGCTGAAACAGTAGGTGGAAACCACGTGGGGACTGGCACACAGTAAGCTGGTGTAAGTGCTGTTATCATTGTCATCATCTGAAATGCAGAAAAGCCCATTCTGGCCTACGAAGGCATTAGAGTTCATCTAGACAAGAACTTTTCTCATCTGCGTTATGCTGTGCTCTGTGTTCTGTGTTCTGACATAGTGTGGGGAAATAGGCTTTTAAACAAGACATGGTATGATGAGTTCTGATCACCTTTCACAATTTATACTAATTCGCTAATAGGCACCTATGTTAAAACTAGTCGCAACTCTTCCTATAGTCCTTTGTTGTTTTGGAGATATGTTCCTGTTTCTTTCCCAGGACAGTCAACAGTAAGACTTTCTCAAAGAAGTGGCTCGACCAGAATAGCGCTGCAAACTGAGACTTGCTGTTTAAGGCTTGGGGAATGGATTGCAACTCCTGAGCTCTTAGAATACAAATGCCTGGTATTTTATGTGGCCCCTTTCTTCCAGAGAGCTCAGAGTCAATTCATGTCCAACACTGCAACGAAGTTTCACAGCACAGCCTGCAAAACGGCCAACAGTTGGTATTACTCCACCTCCACAGCTGACAGGGGGTGCATTAAACAACTCCTTTGCGCACGGCCTCAAAGAGAATGTCGAGGGCTGAGCCTGGGACAGACCCAAGCTTCCTGATTTCTTCACCTCTATTCTGGGCAGATCCAACCATTCATCCGCTTCACTTCCGATGCAAGGGATTATATCTGGGTTACTGCAGGATTGATTTCACTGCAGTACTGTGTTTATGTTTATTACTGTAGGGGTGCTTCTGAGAATATAACTGTTTACCATGATTTTCCCCAGGAAAATCAAAACAATAATGAACTTGCATAAACAGTCTAAGTTCCAGGCCCTTTGGCAGTTCCACAACCTTTAGCAGTGACTTTGTCAAGCGTAGTCATAATTTTTACAGGCAGAAGATAAGCAATGTTTGGAATAACTTTTGGTTTCAGTGATTGATTTTAACTGTGTCTGCCACCTCTCCTCTCCCAATAGTATGTAGGCACCAAACCATTTACCTCTGGCCCCTCTGCCAACCAGAGAGCAGTGAGAAGGTGACTCTGTCCTTGGGTGTCCTAGCTCCATCTTAGAAAAGCAAAAGGTTGCTCTCTGAAATAAGTGTTCCAGACGGAGATGTATGTTCCACTGGAGAAAAGCTATCAGAAGGGAGTGCACTGTCCATGGGATGAGGGCCATGGACACTTCTTGATTTCAGCTGTAAAGTCAGTTACCCATCAAGGCTCAACATAGCTAGAAACAGAATTTCTGTTGCCCTCTACATCATCAGTGGGTACAGAGGGCCTTAATCCATCAGGCACAGACACCAGGAGAGGAGAGTGAAAAGAAGTAGAGAGTGAAAAGAAGAGGTGAGCACTGTAATTCCACCTGGAAACATGGCGCAGGACTAGACCTAGCAAGTGAAAGAGAATTCCAAATGCAGGAGGGAAATATCAGCACTGATGGAAAGTGGTGTTCAACAGATCTACACTTAACAGTCCTAAAGTCTGAATTTTTCATATGAGAGAAAGCCTCGGGCTGGTTTAAACACATTACATCCAACGGAACCGTTAGTTGTACCAAAAAGTAGGAGACGGGGAGCCTTCACTTGGGAGGGGGTCACTCTAATCAGTCTCCAAAGAAAACAGCAATACACAGTGCCCCTGTGAAAGGTGATGCCATCACTTTGCTGCTTGTTATTTCTTCCTCCCAACACGCTTGGCTTGGAAAACGCATTCCTAATTTGCAGGAGATAGATACAAAGAAGGGCAAGGGGTTCTACCAAGGCAACACAGAGCTCATAAATGCTTCCTTCTCCTGAGGCCAGAGCGGCAACCTACCGCAGTGTCACCCTTGAACTTAACCAAGATGCACAGAGACTTTTCCACTTAGGAAGCAAACAAAAGGCCAGAGGCCCTCACGTGGCTGTGCACAGAGGCTTGAGTTGACAAACGTTTAAGCAACAATGGAAGCACAGATCAGACTGTTTAGAGGAGCGCGTTCACAGCCATTCAGCATGGTTAAGTTACCGAAACACGTCGCTATAACCCTTTTGATTTACTCAGCTCTTTTTCCCAAACAAAACAAAATACACCCCTAAAGAAAACATGGCTTAGGATAAAATTTTCCATCCCTGATCCCAGTTAAAAGAGGCTTTTAGGGTCACAATCAATTTACAGGGTGGGTTTTATTGTTATTGTTCTTGATTTTCCACACACTGGAAACCTCACAAGTAGATGTAAAAAGCAACAAATATGTATTTTTATATTAGCGCTGACTGACATTCTCCTTCTCTCCCAACCACAGCCAGTTCATCTGAAAGCTTAATTATAATTCCCAAGGAAGGGTGAGGCTTCCCAAAGTTCCACAGTCCGCACGTCCATCTCACCAAGGTAGAAGCCTATTTTGTTTCTTTTAGAAAAATGCTATTTAGGAAAAAAAGCCTGGATGTATTCATTGTTATGTCCTTACTAATCCCCCTCTAGACAGGAAGTCTAAACATTGTTCTTTTCATTGGAGGGTAACTTCACACTGTATGAGATCTATGTAGATTTTTCACATAATTACTCCTTTGTTGTCCTAAAAAGGTGTCTTAGAAATTACAAACAACCATCAGTGCTTGAAAATCATCACTGGCATAGTTTCTCTTTCTACTATAAAAGTACATGAAGTTTACTAAAGTAAATGATGCACTTGTAAACCCTTGTTTAATGTCTGCCTTCCTACTCTCTGATAAACTCCAGGAAGGGAGGACTATGTTGTCTTGCCATTTTGAAATATGTTCAGTACCTAGTATCACACATATTAATAAATACGTGCTGCTGAGGGAAAGACCCAAGAAAATATAAAAGTCGCCTTTACTCCAGTCATCCAGAATTCACACATACAGGGAATATTTTATATACACAACCATGAACTCTACAAGTTAACATGACATTGGGAGCATTTTTCTATGCCTTAAAATAATATTTCAAAAATATGGCTGGCTATGATAGTCCTTTAAAATATGGCTGGCAATCTGATATTCCCTTGTATGAACATATGTTTCCTTCTTTAAACTCATGAATATTTTTTATGTTAGGCACTGTGCTCACGCTAAGGATAGAGCAGTGAGGTACACAAAGTTGGAGACTGAAATTTTAATATACCAGTACTACTAAAAACATACAAACAAACAAGAAAAGAGAAAGAAAGAAAAAGCTATGGCAAGGACATCTTAGGCAAAACATCTCTGAGTCTATTTCTTGGATATCCTCTTAAAAATGGAATTACTGGATCCAAGGGTATCCGGTAATTAAGGCACTTTGACTTACACTACTAAATTGCCACCTTAAGAAGGTTGTGGCAATTTATGAGTCAACAGGAAAATACGATAGTACCTATCTTCTGGCCACATCTCCAATATTGAACATTATCAACTGACAATGATAAAAAAAAATTTTAGGGAGAAATGGCAACTCATTCTTTAAACATAGAGTTCTTTAATTAATAACCCAGTTCAACTACTTTTCACATGCCTATTTCTTCTGTTGTGAACTCTCTGTTCATGTCCTTTGTCTACTGTTCTGTGGGATGTTAACATTTTCCTTATTGATCTATAACCATAGACAGTAAGATATTTTGCCTTTGTCATATTTTCTGCAAATATTTTCTCATTTGCTCTTCGCCCTCTAACTGTGTTTATGGTATTTAACACAGAGTAATCCTAAAATGTTTAGAGTCAACTCTACTGACCTTTCTTTGGCTCTCCCCCACAGATTTTATGCTTAGAAAGTCTTTTCCCATCCTGAGAAAGTTAAATATACAATCATACTTCCTTTTAGTTAA